TTTGAGTTACTTTAGTTATTTTTGAATTAGCTTAATTTGCAATTTGTTTAAGTTTGATATAAATAAGTTATATAAAAATAAATGTTTGTATAAAATATTATTTAGTATGTTCAATTAATTAATTAAGCAATTGAAAACAAAACTGAAGTAAAGCATAAGCATAATATAAAAAAAATTTTCAATGTTAATATGAGGTCATGCCTCTATAACTTTATTAAGCGTATATTTGTACATATGGGTTAAAATTGGCAATTTTTTTAAAAGCTGTTTTTTACATAAATCAATTTAAAATAATTCTAGAATCTTTTTTCACTTAAGACACAAAAGTAGTTGTGTTAATAAATTTTGCAATATAGCTCCTTAAAGTAAACTTTTTGGTTGAGTTAATTAACGTTTCTTAATGTGTTGTTATGATAAATTTGTATAAATAAAAATTCACTGTGACTGTTTATTTATCGCATTGGTTTATAATGTTTATGTATTGTAATGAAAAGGTCGGGTTATGGTTTACATCGCTAGAGAGAATTTAAAAGACCACGCAAAATTGATTTTTTCATTTTACTCGCTGACCTATTTTTTCGAATTTTATAAAAAAATTTTTTTTTACAGCTGGTTTCATTATTCCTGAGACACCTGATAAAAAAATTAGCCGAATGACTTTTCGGCGATCCGATAAATTATTTTTTCGGCATAACAAATTCAATAAAAATAAATCGCTGTAATAAGGGGCATCCTCTTTATAATCTGCAACGAAAACTACCTTTTTGGACATGTGTTTTATGTAAAACATATAAAACTTCCAACCAATCTGGTGACAATCGTCGCTTTGGATGGCAAGAAAATTGTAATTACAATATATGTTATAACTGTTTACTTTGAAATATATAGTAGTTTGGCAAAGGAAAAATTTAATATAGGATAATATAAAATTTATAAAATTTTGTAAAAGAAACATTATTTCAAAGATTATATATTTTTATTTGGTACTCCAATTTGAGAATTTTTCTTTTTAATGTTCCAAATTATACCAAACCGCCAATGAACTCGTTCCTAATTAGTTCAGGACCAGACTTTTAACATATGCACGTACGTGTGTGCAGACACTTTTCTATTCGCATCTGTAATTAGTCGCATAAGATGACTACAGAGTTTTTCAAAAAACTTTTTAATGAATTGGTTAAAACAACTTGTTATGAAAAGAATACTGTATTGAAAAATTCAGTAAAGCACAAATTTTTGCTATCGTTTTTGAAGTTATTATCAAATAAATCATAAATTATACTATTACTAATGAATTAAATTTTAATTTTCAATTATCAGATAATTTAAGCATTGTCTTCTTGAATTATTTATACATATGCATCCTTTTACTTCTAATGAATTTGGACTTGAAGAACTAGTTAATACTGCGTGATGACAAATGATTAATCGCTAAAATTTATAAATTAAGCTTTGAAAATAATATTGTTTTCAAGAATTTTGTAATGATACTATTACTAAGCAAAAGGTTTACCGATCTATCAGAAAAAACTTTAATCTCTTAAAACTCGATAATTTACAAATGGAGGAAAGAAATTTTAGGATCATGTCATTAGATGGAGAATTTCTAAAAATCCTGACCTGAGTTCTAGTGCTGCACAATGGTCTGATGCGGAATTTTTAGCTTCAAAATCCGTACTCAAATTACCCACCTCACTTTCGGTATTTTCAAATCACTGGTGATGATACTTTGGAGAAAGTACAACAAATTCTTGAAGCTCAATTATGGAAAGATATTATGGCAAAATTTATGACTTAAATATGACCATTATTTCAATCGTTTTACTCCCTCGAATAGTCTCAGCTACTGTGTTGTCATCAAGAGATACTTCTACTGCAATTTTAAGCCGTAAGTATATATTTGATTCTTAATATCTAAATGTTTACTTTTAATGAGTCGAGTTGACTTGTGTTGGAACACACAGTAGTTTAACAATAATAATAATAATTATAAAAAATACAATTTTTATGGGTACTTTGATTTGTGAATTTTTTTTTTTTTATCAGTTATGCCATATAAAGTTCCAAAGTCATATCAAACCGCTAGGATTAGTCCGGTTTTGGATTTGGTTTCCTAATACTAATACTAATAACTAGTACAGGAGGAAC